CTAAGAGTTTTATGGTTTCATGGTTTACATTCAGGTCTTTGGTCCATTTCAGATTTACTTTTGTGTATGGGATTAGACAATGATCCAATGTAAGACATTCTCTTACATGTAGCTGTCCAATTTTGCCAACACCAGCTGTTGAAGAGACTGTCATTTCCCTATTGTATGTCCATGGCTCCTTTATCATATATTAATTGACTGTATATGTTTGGGTTAATGTCTGGAATCTCTGTTCTGTTCCATTGGTCTGTGGGTATGTTCTTGTGCCAGTACCAAATTGTCTTGATTACTGTGGCTTTGTAGTAGAGTTTGAAGTTGGGAAGCGAGATCCCCCCTGCTTTATTCTTACTTCTCAGGATTGCTTTGGCTATTTGGCATCTTTTGTGGTCCCATATAAATTTTAAAACTATTTGTTCCACTTTGTTGAAGAATGCTGTTGGTATTTTGATAGGGATTGTACTGAATCTATAGATTGCTTTAGGTAGGATGGCCATTTTGACAATATTAATTCTTCCTAGTCAAGAGCATGGATGAATTTCCATTTGTTAGTGTCCTCTTTAATTTCTCTTAAAAGGGTCTTGTAGTTTTCAGTGTATAGGTCTTTCTCTTCCTTTGTTAGGTTTATTCCTAGGTATTTTATTCTTTTTGATGTTACTGTGAATGGAATTGTTTTCCTGATTTCTCTTTCTCCTAGTTCATTGTTAGTGTATAGGAAAGCAACAGATTTCTGTGTATTAATTTTGTATCCTGCAACTTTGCTGAATTCCGATATTAGTTTTCATAGTTTTGGAGTGGAGTCTTTAGGGTTTTTTATGTACAGTATCATGTCATCTGCAAATAGTGACAGTTTGGCTTCTTCCTTACCAATCTGGATTGGTTGTATTTCTTTGTTTTGTCTGATTGCCATGGCTAGGACCTCCAGAACTATGGTGAATAACAGTGGGGAGAGTGGGCATTCCTGTGTTTTTCCCAATCTTAGAGGAAAGGCTTTCAGCTTCTCACTGTTAAGTATGATGTTGGCTATGGGTTTGTCATATATGGCCTTTATTATGTTGAGGTACTTGCCCTCCTGTGCTAGTATTTTTGTTTTTTATCAGCACTGCTTTGTGGCTTAAAACTTCCTAGGCACACATTATACTTTGTGCTCTAGGCTTTATTTCTCTTAGGGGACTGGATCAGAGGGAAATGGTATTTAGAGACCATAATCTAGATGCTAGAAAGCTTACTACTATTCTTGAGTTGTTGCTCCTAGATTTTTAAATATTTCTTTTTCAAAATTTCTGGATTTAACATATATTCAGTGTATGATCATAGATTTTTCACTGAGATTATATCTTTTGGGCACATAGGAAAACAGCATTAATACAATTAAGTTTTTCAGTTGTTTGGTAGAGATATACTTTTTCTTAGGCACTATTATAGGTACTGATATACAAATATAAAACTGGAGCCCTCCTTCCATGGAACCTCTGGGACTTGCTCTTAGCATCCAATATGATGATATGTAAGAAAATAAATTTTAGTTTAATAAATCAATAAATGGATAAAATGCAGAAGTGACACAAAAATGAGCTCATTAACTCTGTTCCAGAAGATGGTCAAGGAATGCTTAACATTCTCAGGGATAGTTACATCTGTGCTGGGTATTATAGGAAGGAGATGAATCCAACTGGGTGTGTAAAGGTGAGGGTAAAAGGCTGGCAGGCAGAGGAGAAAGCATATGAAAAGATATGAAGATAACAGGAACAACAAGCAGGTTACCATTTGGGGCACCAAGATTGAAGTAGAGACTGAGAATAGATGAGGAAGTATCAGGAAGTCTTATTCAGCATGATCAACAGCCTACACTTCCCCTAGAGGAAAATAGGAAAGACTGATGGGTTTTAAATAGAAATGTGAAATGACCTAATTTTCTCCTCAGAATAATCATTCTAGTAACAGTAGGAAAATGGATTGGAATGGGAAATGATAAGACAGGGAGACTAGGAAATAAAGTAGGCTAAGTTCACTTTGGGTTTACAAACTTGCGTCTGGAATTGTGCTTTGTATATAGTAGGTGCTCAATATTTATTGAATGACTGAGCAAAAAGTTATTATATGAATCAAAAGAAGTTGGTAAGTCTGAAGATAAACCACATAGAAATAGAGCCTACATATTTAACACTTCTGCTTGCTTACTTAGTATCTACCCCAAGATTTTCACAAACTAGTAAGTAGAACAACCCAGTAGAAATATAGTCAAAGTATATGAAAGGAAGGTTTATGAAGGAGGAAATCTGAGAGCTAACTACATATATGAAAATATGCTCAACTTCACTAATAACCAAGAAAATGCAAATACCATGTTAATTCTGTGAGATGAAAAATATTTAAAAGTCTGAATAAAAGCTACTCTTAAATTGCTGGGAATTTTACATTCTGCTGGTGGGAATTTAAATTGGTGAAACCACTGTAGAAAGCAATTTGGCAGTGGGTATTCAGTAAGTCAGAAGATGAATATGCCATTTGACTCAGCATTTCCATTTCAGATATAAGCACTTTAGACATGCTCACACCTGCACAAAGAGGCATATTCAACAATGTATAATGCAGTATCATTGATTATATTGAAAGTTTGGACATAACATAAATGTGTACCTTCTAGAGAATGGATAAATTTTGATATATTTGTATAATAGCATAATATTCTCCAGTGAAAATGAATATACCAAAGCTATTTGAATAGAACTTGAAGCATCAAGTCACAAACAAAATATTGACTGAAAAAGCTTACAAAATTATACATATAATGCCTCCCTTATATAAAGTTAATTATGCAAAGTAATATTGTTACATATATAGCAATAGATAAAAATAACAAATTTTAAGAGCTTGGTTATCTCTGATGGAAGAAAACTGAAATGGGATTAGAGAAGGATACACAGTAGATTTGAGCCTATTTTTCTTTTTTAAATTTTTAAATTTTTAATGAAGTATTGATAAACAATCCTATATTGGTTTCAAATATACAACACAGTGGCTCAACAGTTACCATATTATTAAATCCTCACCCACTCTAGTGTGGTTACTATCTGTCAACATAGAAAGATTTTACAGAATCACTGACTATATTCTCCATGCTGTACTACTATTCCTGTGACCAACTTACATTATGATTGAGAATGTTTGAGCCCCTTTTATCTCTCTTGCCCTCCCCACCCACCCACCCCAGCCCCTTTCCTATGATAACCACTCATCACTTCTCAGTGTCTGTATAAGTCTACACTGTTTTGTTCATTCTGTTTTGTTTTTACATTCCACAAATAAGTGAAATCATATGGTATTTTTCTTTCTCCACCTGCTTTATTTCACTGAGCATAATATTCTCTAGGTACATCCATGTTGTTGGCAAATGACTGGATTTCTTTTTTTTTATGGCTGAGTAATATTTTTTAAAATTCGGATACAGATATAGCAAAACTAAAATTCAGTAAAGCTAGGTTATGGGTAGATAAGTGTTACTTTTATTCTTATATATTTTAGTTTCTAATGAAAAATTCCTTTGAGAGTAGAGAAATTCAGAATAATCTTTGTTGTCAAGTAAAATATTTTCCTAGCCTCTAAATACTTTTAACAGATTTTTATTTTGCAGATTGGACTGATGAATTAGCTCAGAGGCTGTTAGAGGTTTCAGAAATATCTTCAATAACAATGGCCCAATCACTGCATACAGCAGTTCCAGAATCTCCTAGAATTTACCCTACAAGGACACACAAAACACCTCGAACACCCAGGCTACAAGATCCAAACAAAACTCCGAGATTTTACCCTGTTAAAGAACCGAAAGCCATTGATGTAAAGGTACATGAAACAACCTGGGATACAAAGCCTGTGCTTTGTATTCTTTCAAATTACAAAATTAGACTTTTTAGTTTTCATCACCTTAAAAAAATTCTGTTTTCAGTTGTTTTAGCTTTAGTTTTCTCCTTTTTTAGCTTTAGTTTTTTAAATAGGATATTTAACTCCTAGAATTCATTTAAAAATGGTACTTTCCTATAGCGATGTTTTTTCAGGTTAAAGAATAACTTATTTACAATCTGGTAGTGTAATTAAAAATGATCAGAAGATCTGAAGAAGAATCAAATGCTAAATTGTTTTTCCTTGAAGCTTTTTGTTGAAATCTAGCATAGGGCCATGTTTGTTAAGTTTTGTAACTCGCATGTGAAATGTTTGAGTTTTGTGACTTCATGTGATTTCACAGTGTGTCATCCACAGTATGAAAATGCTTCAGTTGCTTTATAGTCAGAGGGTTTTAATTAACTTGTGAAGGTTAAACTACTGAAAGTGATTGCAATGTTTGACCTGTTGTTCTTCAGAGTCCAAGAAAGAGAAAAACAAGACACAGTACAAATCCCCCTCTAGAGTATCATGTTGGCTGGGTGATGGATTCCAGAGATCATGGGCCAAGAGCATCCTCTGTCAGGTACTGTATTTGTCAAACATTTGTTTGTTCTTAATTTTACGTTTGTTGAAAAGTTACTAATTAGATATTTGGGAATATTTAAAAATTAGTGTATTAGCAAATTATAGAACAATGAAAATAGTAAAAAAAAAGTCAAAGAAGGGGAAATAAATGGGATAGTTTTCTGGGTAAGTATATTAAGAAATAATTCAGAAGAACGTTATTTTCCATTTAAACTGGTTTCCACAAATATGTATTCTTAGATAAAAAAATGTTAAGTCTGTGAAAGTAATTAGCTTTGGAAAGATTTCAGATTCTTAGCTGACACAGTGGGTTCTTAGTGAATTAATATACTAAACAATCTACTCAAAATATATAAGGAATATAGAAATAAAACATGAAATTGTTCTTTTTTTGGGGAAATTTAGATGAGCTGATTTTTAGTAGTAAGTAGTTTCTCTTTTAGCTTTAGTTTTTTAAATAGGATATTATTTAACTCCTAAGAGATGATAGAGCAAACCTTTTAATAGTTCCAGTTATGTGCGAGATAGAGTGGTATGATGTGTCCTGTAGAGTGGATGCAGAGGAGATTTACTGCTAATTGCTTTGTGTGTCTTGAAAACCTATTTTGTGTTTGTATAGATACTTTCAGGATAATTATTCAATTGTCTTTACAATTGAAACTAGCATTAGGAAAAGTGTTTTTGACTGGTTACCAGAAGGGAGGGAATAGTTAATTTCATTCAAAGAAAAGATGTGAGTTTATCATGATCTGAAAATCTCCAAGTCTGCCTTTCCAGTGATACTCATTTGGTACTTTTACATTTTGTTCTCATCAGATATATTGTCCTTAAAAGATAAAATGTGTATATGTTTTTCTGTACAGCTATTGTAAAATAATAGTTATTTTTGTTCTTAGTAATTTTGAGAGTTTGTTTCCCAGGTGGATTTTTTTAATCAGAGCAGTATATTTAGGGATCAGTAGATAATACTGAAAAATGTTTAGTCAATAACGTTTAGTTTGAACATTTAATTCTAATGTTTAATTGTGAATGTTTCTTAAGATTCATATTTTATCACATTATACCTTTTGATGTTAATACATTATATAATCGTTTATTTATTCCCAGCCACCACTCCACCTTCCCCCACAAGTAAAATGCATGAGGGAAGCAGGGACTTAATAATGTGTTTAGTACTTTTCTAGGGACTGAGTACACAGCAGGGAGCAAGATAAATAAAGTCCCTACCTTTCTGGAGCTTAATTCAGAGATAATAGCTTTTCTCTATAAATATTTGAAGTATTTATAATAATGATTGGTGAATTCTGTATAATAATCTCATTTTTTAGAGCACTTTTAGGTTCATAGCAAAACTGAGTAGAAGGCACAGAAAGTTCCCTTATACCCCCCTGAGTCCTCTGGCCTTCCACACCCAGCCTCCCCCTCTATCAACATTCATAGCTTTAGACCATCTACATTAATGTAATTACTGTGATATGATTGGATTTAAAGTTACCATCTTTTATTCTACTTCTTTCATCTATTCTTTGTGCTTTTTTCCTCCTTTCTTTTGGATCAGTTGAGATTTTATAATGACTTTATTGTATCTCTACTTTTGGCTTCATAGTTATATCTCATTTTTTTACTGGACTTCAAGGGTTTAGAATATATATTTTAACTTACAGTCTACATTCAAGTAACATTATATCACTGCATGTATAGTATAAAAACTTTACTATAATAAAGCTCCATTTCTTCCCACCCTTTATGCTATACTTTATTATTTTTCTTTAAACAATTACCTTTTAAAACAAATTTTGAGAATAAAAATTTTAAAAATATTTACTTGCATTTTTACCAATTGCAATGCTCTTCATTTCTTGGATTTTTTTATGCAGTCTATTGGCAATGAACTGTCAGCTTTTGTTTATCAGGATACATTTTTGAAAGATATTCTTATTGAGTATAAAATTCTACAATGCATCTAGTTAGAGCTAGAGATACAGGTATATATGTATACATACATATGTGTGTGCACACACACATGCACACACAAAATATTTATCCTGCTTGTGGTTATCTAAAATTATTGGACTTACAGTTGTCTTCATTCAGTTAGGAAAGTTTTCCTCAAATAGTTTTTGCTCTATTTTCTTATTGTTTTTTCCCCTCTTCTTCTGGGATTCCAGTTACATGTGCATTAGACCATTGTTAATACATTATAACTCTTGGGTGACCTGATCTTTTTTCTATTCTTTTCTTCTTTGTAGTTCACATTGGATAATTTTGATTGAACTATATATATTTTTATTAAGATATCATTGATGTACAATTTTATGAAGGTTTCACATGAGCACCATTGTGGTTACAGCATTCACCCATGTGATCAAGTCGCCACACACCCCATTGCAGTCACTGTCCATCAGCATAGTAAGATACTATAGAGTCACTACTTGTCCTCTCCATACTGTACTGCCTTCATCTTGACCTACCTATATTATGTGTGCTAATTATAATGCCCCTTAATCCCCTTCTCCCTCCCTCTCCAAACACTCTCCCCAGCCCGTTAGTCCGTTCATGAAGTCTGTGAGTCTGCTGCTGTTTTATTCCTTCAATTTTTGCTTTGTTGTTATACTCTACAGAAGAGTAATATCATTTGGTACTTGTCTTTCTCCACCTGGCTTATTTAATTCATTGTAATACCCTCTAGCTCCATCCATGTTGTTGCAAATGGTAGGATTTGGTTTCTTATGGCTGAATAATATTCCATTGTGTATATGCACCACATCTTATTTATCCACTCATCTATTGAAGGACAGTTAGGTTGCCTCCATGATTTGGCTGTTGTAAATAGTGCTGTGATAAAATAGGGAGCATATGTCTTCTTGAATCAGCACAGGCAGAGGAAAATGGCGCGGAGTCTGTGAAGCATGTAGGGGCTCTGTTCTCATGGTAAACATGCGCTGATTACCTGCAAACACTGTGAGTGCCCTAGGTGATCCCGAGGGCCACCCTGCCCATGGCAGCTCAGAGGTTTAACCCAGAGGCTACTCTCTGTGTGCAGTTGACTAGCACAGGCAGCGGAGATGGGCAAGGTGACCAGCAAGCAGGAAGGGACTTTGTTCTTCCAGCTGATACATCCAAATGGAACAATATTTGCATTATTGTTCCAGAGAAGAGAGAGAAAAAGAGTAGAAAGTGTCTTTGAAGAAATAATTGCTGAAAACTTCCCCAATCTGGGGTAGGAAATAGTCTCTGAGACCATGGAAGTCCACAGATCTACCAACACAGGGGACCCAAGGAGGACAACACCAAAACATATAATAATTATAATGGCAAAGATAAAAGCAAGGACTGGGTATTAAAAGCAGCCAGAGAGAGAAAAAAGACCACCTACAAAGGAAAACCCAGTAGGGTATCATAAGACTTCTCAGCGGAAACCTTACAGGCCAGAAGAGAATGGCATGATATATTCAATTCAATGAATCAGAAGGGCCTTGAACCAAGGATACTGTATCCAGCAAGATTATCATTTAAATTTGAAGGAGGGAGAGAGGGAGCCAAGATGGCGGCGTGAGTAGAGTAGCGGAAATCTCCTCCCAAAACCACATATATTTTTGAAGATACAACAAATACAACTCTTCCTAAAAGAGAGACCAGAAGACACAGGACAACAGCCAGACTACATCCACACCTGCGACCCAGCACCATGTGAAGGGGGTAAGAAACAAGCCACGGCTCAGAGGGACCCGAGTGCCCCTTATCCCAGATCATGGCGGGAGAAGAGGAGTTGGAGTGGGTTGGGAGAGGGAGCCCAGGACTGATAAACACCAAGCCCTAGCCATCCGCACAAGAGCGCAGACACAGTGCATGTGTGAGGTGCTGGAAACAAGGGAAACATGACAGTAAGACCTGTGAGTGGGTCCC